CCCCCCCCCCCAGGCCCTGCCCGGTCCCGCTGACCCCGATGAGGTGCACGCGGTCCATGCTGAAGCTGGGCACGATGGTCACCAGCTCCTTCTCGGCCAAGAACTCCGCCTCGGCCGGCTCCATGTGTACGAACCCGGACCGGCGCCGCGCACAGAACTGGGATGGGAATGGGGACCGGAACCGGCACGGGGCCCGCCAAGCGCCCGCGCTCCCTATTGGCTGCCCGACGGCGAAGCCCCGCCCACAGCACCCCGCTTTCCGCCGTCGGGCCCGTTTTCGCGCTCTCTGTGTGGGGGCGGGACACGGCGCAGCTTGGAGCGAGATGATTGGCTGTTCCATTCGGTCGTGGACATCCATTGGTTACCTCTATTGGTTCTGTGTCGCTCGCCGTGGGACCAATCCTGATGCCTCCTGGGGCACTGACCAATCAGAGTTCTGCACTTGTTGCCGGGGCGCCTCGGGGCCCTATGCGCCCAACCACTACGTGTGCGCGCGGCGCTCGGAGCTGCTGCCCCCTGGCGGCCAGGAGGAGCAGCGCCCCGTGCTCCGGCCTTCCCACGGGCTGCGGGGCCGGAGGTCTGTCTGTCCGTCCGGCTGGGTGTCCCTGGGCAGCCAGTTGTGTTCATGTGCCAGGCATGGTCTGGCTGCTTGTTCCCTCTATTCATCAGCCAGCACATGCTCCCACCCACCTGCCCATCTAACCAACCATCCATCCATCCATCTGTCCATCCATCCATTCACCCACCCATTCATGCCTCCATCCATCCATCCATCCATCCATCCATCCATCCATCCATCCGTCCATCCATCCGTCCATCCGTCCATCCGTCCATCCGTCCATCTGTCCATCCATCCATCTGTCCATCCATCCATTCACCCACCCATTCATGCCTCCATCCATCCATCCATCCATCCGTCCATCCGTCCATCCGTCCGTCCATCCGTCCATCCATCCATCTGTCCACCCACTCGTCTGTCCATTTGTCTGGCCACTCTTCCATCCATCCACCCATTCATCTACCCATGTGTCTGCCCATTCATCCATCTATTCATTTACACATCCCATTTATACATCCATGCCTCCATCTGTCCATCCATGCGTCCACTCTTCCATTTGTCCAGCCACCCACCCATCCATCCATCCACCCACCTAACCTCCTATCCAGCCATCCAATCACCCATACCTCCACTCATCCGTCCACCCATCCATGCCTCCATCTTGAGCCCAAAGGACCAGTGCTCCCCACCACTCCACAGGTCCCATCAGCCCACACTGGGTAGGTCTGGGGGCTGCAGGAGAGGATCCCCCATCCATTACTATACCCGTGGTGCCACCAGCACGCGCTGCAGCTCCGCCAGGCACTTTATAAATGGCTCTGACATGGTGTGAATACACTTTTGTGTCTTTTGCCATCTGCTGCTGTCATTAAAAAATTAAATTTCCATCTGCTTTTGCACGCCGTCCTCTCCTGGGGCTCTCCAGTGAAGCAGCACACCAGGAAGCATCACCCCCAGCAGGGCAGGATTCAGCCCTGGGGGCAGTACTGAAGCTGTTGGGGTCCCCTCTGGGTGCTCAGCACTGGTTGCAGGGTGGCGATGTCCCCCCCGTCGCCCTCCGTGTGTCCCGGCACAGCATAGTCCCTGTGGGTGTGGGTGGTGTGACGATGATGGAGGGCACGTGGAGGTGCTTCCCATCCGGTTCTGGGGTCCCGGTGCTGCCATTCCCGCTGCTCACACACATCTTCAACCCTATAGAAAGAAGGAAAAGCCAGGGAATAAGGAGTGTACGTTAATGCGATGCTCTGCTCAACCCTATATGAGCCACTGGAGAATCCCCAGAGCCCCACGATGGCACAGCACAACCTTCTTCATCCCTCATTGGGGTGCCACAGCCCCCAGCTGCCCACCTGCCTGCTGGGCCAAAGAGAGCTCTAATCTGCTGTTTTAATCAAGAGGAAAGCCCAGCTCCACACACAGCGAGTGGCCAGGGAGGTTTAATTCTTCTGCAGGAGGAAAATGCCCGAAGGGGACAGACACTGATATTTTTAATCTCTTTTTAATTAAGGATTAAACCCTGCCTTATGTAAGAGAGCCGCAGGGGGATGTTTTATTTCACTGCTGTCTCTGAGCCCATCGCAGAGGAGAGCAGGGGCTGGGGGGGGGGTATCTGGGGGCTGCACTCCTGTGGCTCTGACCCCGCTTTGGGGATGCTTCAGTGTGGGTGATGCATAGCAGCTCCCCTGTGGTGCCATGGGCTCAGCTCTGGGTGAAGCATCCCTTGTGACAAAGGTCTCCATAGGACAGTGGGTGGAGCATTTGTGCTTGGGGTTGACCACAAAAGGGGACAGAGCATCCCAAATTGTCCTTGGGCACATGTGAGAAACGGATGTGTTCCCACGTGTACAAATCCATCGCATCCCATTGGGATTGGGGGAGAACCCACCCCTGCAGCCCCCCCAGTGCCACGCCACGGCCCCACCCCAATATGACATCCCAACCCTTTGCCAAGTGGCATTAAGAGCTAATGGGAGATGTGCTGTTCAGCATCACGGCGCGTTAAAAGCTCCCACTTCCTTTCTCTCTGTGCCACAGCAGACGTCGCGGTTGCTCGACTCCATTAAGAAAATTGAAGTTTGGGGATGTTGATGCTATTAAAGACGCTCGGGACGAACCTGGGGGCCGGGGTACCCAGTTTTCCCCCTGAGCATCCCAGATGTGAGCATCCCAGGGTGCCCCAAAGCCTTGAGTAACCTCAGAACTATACCCCTCATTTTATAAGGCTGGAAAAAATACCCACATCCCCTTCCTTTACCTGCAGCATCATCCCTCCAGAGGCCAAACCCCTCCTGCAAGCAGCAGCAATACCTTTAGGAGTCAGTAAAGCACCACGGCGCATCCCTTTGCCCAAAACCACCCTGGCACCCACCCAGACCCACCTTTCAGACAGGATAACTTGAGCCCCATGTTCTCATCCTCTTCTCGGGGCCTCGCCGCTGCTCCTGGCTCTCCAGCACTGCTCACTGCATAAAGAGAGAGGCGAGGGCTGTGGGGAGCACAGCGACGGGAAGCGACGCCGGTAATGCTTTGAGCAGGAGGAACGGGAGAGGACTTGATTGCTGGCTAAAAGCATGCACCTATGAGTTTATATATAAATACATACACATACATATATATATATATATATAGGCACCCGAGAGAGCTGCCTGGGCACAACAGGAAGCAATGCAGAAAAACCACGGGCTGATGTCACGGCGTTTCAGTGACTCAATCCCAGCCTCTGAGTTTGGGGAGGAACTTTTTGGGAGGGTGGAGAAAGAGCTCAGCACCCCAGTATTGCGCCCTGTGCTGCGAACCTGCATCTCTGCTGCTGTGGTTGTGCTGCAAATGTGTTTGGGTGAGGAGGACGCGAGCAGAGCAGGGTGGGGGTTGGTGCAAGCAACTGGTGCTTGAAAAGAGGAGCCCAAGCCCATGGGCAGGAAATACAGGAGGCACCCATCTGACCTCGCAGCAAAGCATCTCCCATCCTGGGGTGCCACCAGCCACTTGGGAGCAGAAATAGCAAAACCTGCAGCAGGATGGGGATGTCTGGAGCTGGAAGCATCCCTTTGGGTTCCTATGGTGTGCCAAGAGCTTTTGGAGAAATGCAGGTGGAGAATTCCTGGAGGTAGCTTGTATGAGAAGGGCATTTTCCAAATGGGATATGGAAGGGAAGGGTGGGTAAAACCTCAGGGACAGAGATGGGCATTTCAGAGCTACAGGACACACTGCAACGTTTCACACTTCTTTTGAATTACCCTGGGTGACATCCCCTCACTGAGGAATTTGTATCCCTCCTGCTCACAGCTGATGGGAAAAGCTTATGGGAAGAGGGCTGGTGCCTCATTCCTGCTCTCACCTCACAGGCCCCGCAGGGAGCTGAGCAGCACCTCCCTCCCTGAGCCCCTTCCCCAGGACTGAATGCTCTCACAGAGCCAGGAGATGCTCAGGCAGAGCGATTTCCCCACCACCGTTTTTGCTGGCTGGTGCTGGAGCTTCAACTTTGCTTCCGTGTCAGAGAGATGTTTGCATCGCCGATGAGTTCACGCTCCAGAAACCCACAGACACTCATTGCAGGAGTCACCAACGCAGCATCAGCGCTGCACGCGCGGAAAAAAGCTGCATGATGTGACTGGAGGGGATGCACAGAGCACAGCGGGGTCCCAGCAGGTGGGTTGGGAAGGGGGAATGGGACAAAAAAAGCTTCAGCCCTGGCCACGTAGAAGGAGATGCCACTTACCCGTCGCCGTGCCCACCAAACGTGCCTTGCATCCCAGCTCCTACTGAAAGCTGAGAGGGGGATTTCCAGCCCTGCTCCCATCCGTGTTGTGGGTTTTGCAAGGTTGGTTTCTAACCTGGTTAATCGGGTCGGTGAAGTCCCAGCTCCTCCCATCCTTCCCTCCCTGCTCTCCCCCCTCCAGTCCCATTTGAGCCCTGCCAAGGCTGTGGGTGGGTGATGGCGAGCGGTGCTTTTCTCTCACCCCGCTGCACAGCCCAGCCTGGTGCTGATAGCTGGAGCCCCCGGAACCTGAGCATCCCTATGGCAGGACAGGCTCCTAAACATCCCAGAAGCACGGGGTTGGTGTGTGGGTGCTGATGCTAAGGTCCATACCCAGAAAGTGATGATGCTCCTGCTCCAGTTTTTGTGGCCAGAAAGGGTCTGTGTTTCCCACGGGGTCTCATCTGCCCACCCAAAAACCAGGCTAGGGGCAGGACCACACAGGGGGGCTCTTGCTGCCCTGAGGATGACAGCTCCAACTTTCACCCTGATGTGAACAGTCTCTGCCTTTGCCTGCATTAAAAGCAGCCGGAGGAGGTTTTTGCATATCCACCTCCTCTGCAATCATGAGGCAAAGCCTGAGATGCTCCTTTCAGAGAGCTGAAAAGCGGAGATTCACATCCAGGGCAGTGTCACATCCAGGGAATCCCTCTTCACAGACTTCCTGGCTGCAGGCAGGAGCCAAGGGAAAGCCTTGAACGGAGCAGAGGACAGAGCTCAGGAAGCACCTGGAAGCTGAGGCCCAAAAAACAGACAGATGAATGGGTCATGCACTTTTCTGCCTGTCCAGCAGAAGAGTCCAAGATGCAGAGGGCACTCAATGATTACAGCATCCCTGGAGGTCCCCTGCCCTCACCAGACCCAGCAGTACCAATCCGGTCTGAACAGCAAAATCCCCTCCGTTTGCTATTTAATGCCTCTTGAAGTCCTTCTTGCTGTTGTTTGGAGGGGACAAAAAGCCCCAAACTCCAGAGCCCTGGATTGAACCGGGGCAGGAGCAGCAGTTGTGTTTGTTGCTGAAACAGGACCTTGCAAGCAGCTGAAAGAGCTGGCTTGCTGCAGCTGGGAGGTGAACATCAACACCAGCGAGCTAAAATAACTGTGGTTAGCTCTGCGGGCTGAGCACTTCTCTAGCTGGGCTGGTGACACCTGAAAGGCACAAATACACCTTTCTGCAGCCTTCCCCACGGGATCGGGGGGAAGGGGGGCAAGCAGCCCTGGGCACATTCATAGTGTTCCCTTTGGTTCAGCCACCAGCCGGGCTCATTTTGGAAAAGGAGAAAGCATCCCAAAGAAAATCCTCTGGGGTAACAGCAGCAGCCCTGGGCAGAGAGGCAGGAAGCAGCACGGCTGCTGTTGCAGAGAGCAGAAAGGGAAGCAGAAAGCGAGCACATACCTTAAACACAGGACTGGAGCGTGCTGGGCTCTGCTGCCAGAACCACATCCAGAGCGATCTGCTGCCCTGCTGGGCATGGGTTCAGCAGGTAGCACAGGGCCTGGGCTGGGAATTGGCTTTGAGACCTGGCCACCGCTTCCCAGCTCGCTGAGCTCCAGGTTAATCTGAGCCCAGCTTTCCCTTTTATCCCCTCTGTACATCTTTTTTTTTTTTTTTTTCTTTTTTCAATTAGGTCTGCTCTTAAGCTCCGGAGTGCATTTCTAGGAAGGGCTGCATTATTTCTCCAGCCTTCCCGAGCTGCTGCTGTGCAGATCAGGGCATTCCTGGCACCGCTCCCTCCTGCACCCAGCTCCAGTGCTGTGTGCTGCACCTGGGTTGCTCCCCTCTGCCCCTCTGCACTTGAAAGCAGCGTGCCCTGCAGAAAGGGGCTGAGTTGGGGCACTCTGCATAGCCACACAAATGTGGAACGATTTCACCTCTTGCACAGTCCTGTTATTGGAAGCTCCATCCCACAGCCAGCAATCTGCCTCCATCCTCTCCGAGGACACGATGTGCCAGCCAAAACCAAGGAAAAATGCACAGGGAGGGCTTGCTTTGGGATGGGAAGGTTGGGTGCAAATGTAGTCTAAAAACCACGGTAAAAAATTAAAAGCAAAATCAATAGAGCCCCGAGCGGACACTTAAGCACAGTGAAATCACTGCCTGCCCCTGGAGGGCTGGCTGCAGGCAGTACAGCACACAGCACAGGAGCACAATGCATTGACAGAGAAGTCAAATTTAAGCCTGGAGGAAAAGAGCACTGGTAGAATGGGAAGGAAGCAGCCTCACAGCATTGCCTACCCAACCCAGCCCAGCTCCCCGCAGCATGAAGGCAGCAGTGTGCAGCTCGAGCACTGCTCTTCCAGGGGCTGAATTACAGCACAAACCCCAGATGCAGCTCAGAAGTGCAGGCTAAGCGTGTTTCCCCTGGAGGACATTTCCCAAGCTGCAGCCCATGCTGCTAACAGCCTCTTCCATTAGCATTTGCCTGCTCTTCCCGTATCAGTAATGCCCTCCATCTGAGCATCTCAAGGCATTTTACAAACAGCAGCAGCAGAGTGCAGGGATTAGGGCTCTAGCCAGGGAACAAAGAGAACCCAGTATGCTTCCTGCATCTGTCACTGCCACCTCCCCTCGGTGTGCATCTCTGCCACACAGCTGAGGACCTCACGAGGGCAGGGGGTCACCTCCCAAAGGGTCACCTCCTCTCCATCCCACCAGCAGAGAGACTCATCTGCTTCCACAGCCCCATCGGCTCTCAGGAGTAAGGCTCTGCTGGTTTTCACACTGGCATAGGTGGGGGAATATCCCGTGAGCAGCATAGCTGGCAGATTGGAAGGGGAAAGGGAAACTTCAGCAGCAGGCTGTTTCGCTTGCTGAATTAAAAAATAGAGATCCTAAGCACGCACACAGCAATGAGCTCAGAGAGAATACGGATGCAGTGTGTTCCCCAGCAGAAATCACTCCCACCATAGGCTTAGCCCCAGCCAGCCACTGGCTCTCCTTGTTCTGATCGCTCAGATGTCTCATTGAAAATAACACCCCTAGGCCCCCAAACCCTCTGTTCACTTCTGGATGCCTCGAGCTGGGGCTGTGCGTGGAGGTTCTGACCTGCTATCAGAAGGTTGGAAGTGCCCTGGGCCAGACAGCAGCTCGTGTCCTGCCTCAGGGCACTCCTCGTGTTCCTGGGCCTCAGATCGATGCCATCTTTGATTTCAAACTGAATTGGCTTTACAAAAAGCATGCTCAAGCCTTTTGCTTCTCCCCCTTGTGACTGAAGGATTCAAGGTTAGCGTTCCTGCGGATCCAGCAAAGAATAACATACATCCTCCCACTCAGAAACCCAAGTGCTTGGTGCTGGCATTTTCAGGCACCTGCAGACTCTATCACTGCTCTGAAATACTGGGTTGAAAGCAGAAAAAAACCAACTCCAACACCTCAATACACTGGAATCTACGTATTTCCAAGTGTCTTAGGTCCAAGGTGAAGAGTTGGGAGTTAAATGCCTGGACAAACACCACATCTGCAAATCACAGAATCACAGAATGGCCTGGGTTGCAAAGACCACAATGCCCTTCCAGTTCCAACCCCCTGCTGTGTGCAGGTCACCAACCAGCAGACCAGGCTGCCCAGAGCCACATCCAGCCTGGCCTTGAATGCCTGCAGGGATGGGGCATCCAGAGCCTCCTTGGGCAACCTGTTCCAGTGCCTCACCAGCCTCTGAGTGAGGGTGAGATCTCTCAGGGAAGAAAAAATAATTAGACCTGCACATCATTAACTGCTAACAAAACGTAAAAGTGGTTCCAAAGAGGAGATGCAGAATCCTTCCCCAGGTTTTCCTCCCCAGAAGTTTTAAAAGCAGTTACCTTGAGTTCCTCTGAAGAATCCTGTGGATCTGCCAGCCAGGCGACCAGCATTTGTTCTGACAGGTAGGCTGGGGACATCAGCAGGAAAGGAGAACACAGTCTTCAGAAGCTGGCAGCTTCCTCATTCTTCCATAAAGAGCCACTGGGGCTCCAAGCTGCCTTGCCTTTATGAAATGGCTGCTTTTTGTCCAACCTTCAATGCAAATAAGGACAGGTGTGATAAGATCTGAGCGCTGCAGTGCTTGCCCCTTTTGCTTGAGCTTAGCCCACGTCCTTACAGGTGGCAAAACACTCAAAGCATCTCATATGAAAGCAAACTGAAGACAAAGCAATAAAAGCTGCTCTCCTTCCAGCAATGAGTCCTGATAGTCACAGGCAGCATTCATCCTTTCCATCAGGTTGCAGCCTGATGATACACACTTTGCTTTGCCTTAAGAGGGTGAAGGGGGAGTATGTGCAACATTAGCCTGTATTAGCATATATACAATCAAAGCTTGATTATGACATCTAGTTACAGAAAATGAGAAATGGATTTCCTGTGGCTCAGCTTATACTGTAGTATTGGTTAGCCATCTCACCTAGCTAGGTATCTTGCTAAGGCAACACCTGTCACTGCAACAACAGGGCAGACTTCATGAGATGTTTGCAAAGGAAGACAACAGTCCTCTTCCTGCAATGTGATCTGCAGGGCTTACTTCAGACGTACACTGCTGGATCATTGCTGCTTCCAGGATTTGTTGTTTCAGTGTTTTAAATACAGTTGTGGCTGTGTAGCATAAGGCACCAAAACAGGTTCATCTTGCTGCTTCTGAGCTAGATATGTATTCTCTTCCTTTCCTGCCAGCATATCAGACTCGTGACTTGGAAAGACTGCTGACTATGTGCCAATGCTTCTTGTAAAGCCCATCACAACTTACTATTGCATAGCAGGCAGGCAAACAAAGCCACTGAGTTCAAATCTTCATCTCCATCCTAAAATAGGAGGAAACAGTGCTACAAAGCTTCCTCATTGCCCACTGAATTTACCCTTAGAAACAAGCAAGAATTAGTAAGACAGCTAAAAGCTGAACAAAAGTATAATCTGGATTGCCTGATACAAACATACTCTGACATTTACCTTCAACTCAGAGATATGTTTCAGGCTTACTTAAATGAATACCAGCTGAAAATCAGAACTGTGTAAAAGACAGACAGAAAAAAAACTGCATAGAAGTAATACTGTATTTTACTCTCTCCTTTTGTAGTCTTAAAATTTAGAACTTTCATTCAATATCGTCATTTCAGGCTTCAAATCAAAACAAACAAAAAAAAAATCACACGAGGTGAGCATCCGATTTTACTTTGTGTTTTAACTTTTCCAGGCAGTAACTATGGTTGTATGTCCAGGGTCAGCAGAAATGACTGTAGCATTTGGGAATACAGCTTTAATGCATTTTCTGTAGCTGTGTCATGCAAAACCACTGCAAATCAGGTGACACCTGAGCATGGCACATCATCCTCAGAAGTATGCATTTTGCTACAGTGAAAAAAGACCATTTCCAACCAGGCCAAAAAACCCCTGAAGCAGTTAACTTTTGATTTTGTTTATATATTTGACCTCAAAATACCTCATCTGAGGACAAAACTGGTTTGCTTTTTTTTTTTTTTGAAACCTATTTTCATAAATCTTTAAAAATTATTCTCTCTAGAGTACAAAAGCTTAGTCAAAACTTTGTGATATGAACAAGGGGAATAAGCAGGAGTAGTTCTGGTTTTGAAGGAATAGCAACATTCACTGCAACCGGGAAGGCATCCACAGGGACAGCTGGAACTGACGGTGTGCAGCTCTTCCAATGAATCTCATGACAAGGATTCAATAGCTTATAGGCACATCACCCTTGGCAATGTGATGTGTCACTCTTAATCCTCCAGCTTTCCACACCAGGTACTGAATATTATTCTATTTACATTCAAAAATATCATCTTTGTCTCTTCAGTACGTAGTGGGAATGCCCGTAAGTGAGTCAGTAGGAACCCCTCTAACACAGGTGGAGGACAGCTTTGTTGATCTCTGGGTTTGTCCAGTCGTTCCGGATATCATCCAGGTGGTTATCAAAATCCACAAGTGTTTCATAGGACTTGCTGTCCAAGAGAGATGCAGCAATTCTCTGAGCTTCGCTCCAATCTTCACAAAAATCACTAGGAAGCGAGATAACCATATTGTTAATTAATAACAATCACAAAGGAAATCTCCATCACCTCCTCCTCTAAGGGCCATTCCTCCCCACTACTCAAATGAATAAGCTCTGATGTTTACTCACACGTGTGGGTCTTTGCACCTCCACTTGTTCTCGTGAAGCTCATACACGTGAATGGCAGGTTCCAAGCACTCCATTGTGAACTTGGTGTTATCAACCTGGTGTGCAATAGAAAAACCATCTTAGACTTCTCCAAATCCCAAGTAAAGAGATGAAATTAAAAAAGAAATTACTAACAGGACACCTTATACCAATTCATCCACTGTTCTATTTTTCCATGAGACAACTTTTCCGTGTTTAAGCCACCAACACTCTTGGTGGCTCCATTTGTTTCATAAATGATCTTAAAGGTCCCTTCCAACCCAAACCACTCTATGATTCTATATGAGACAAGAACTGAAGTCACAGAAAGGAGTCCATCACAGTAAATGCACTTCCTTTGTTCAAACCTCCCACAGGGAAGGTCCCCACTTCCTCTGAGACAACAGAGAGCTAACCACAGGCAGTTCCTATGAACCACACTGGCTACAAGTCACTGCATCTGGGGAAAGAGCAAATTGGTTACCTCATTATTAAAGATCCAGAGAATGGTATTTAGTCCAGTGTCATGGTCATAGGATTAATGATGCAAAAAGAGGAAAAATGAAGTATTTACCATTATGAGTGCTGTATCGTTAAAGCCCTCTGCAATTCGGGAAGCCACCTTCTCAGCAACCTGGGTTGGACTGCAGCAGAAGGTAAAAATAATTGTGTTATTTGAACTGTGACTCTTCAGCTTAAAACAACAGGAAATATGCTTAAAGGGTTGTGAAAATTACAGAGCTTGCTTACAAACAAGAATGAGCCATCACGTTGGTGTTACACTTGATTAAAAACAGAAAGCCAGGAAAGCCCCACCTTCTCTCTTCAGCACACGATCTATGCTTAGGCAATGCATTTTTGAGCAGCAAAACACTCACTGCAGATTGTATGCAGAACCAAGGTATTGTGGTCTTCTACCTCCTTCTGCCAGACCAAGAACTCAGACAGGCATTTTACAAAGAAACTCCATCTGAGTGCTTCCCATTCTGAGCTCACTCATGCCCAGCTGCTCCACAGAACCAGATTTCTTCTAACGGGCAACCTTTACTCTGTTTCAAAGCTTGCAGTCTCTACATGGTGCCAAAGATGAAGTCTTGGGGTTGGAAGAAACAAACCTATGACAGTCTTTCAAACCACAGTTGGAACAGACAAGCTGCATCTTCTTTAAAATGCCATCAGCAGATCTGTTTCCCTTGTAAGGAAACGGCAACGCCTGTATCCCTGATAGGGACCCAAGCAATCACAAGTACTACTTACAAATATGCTTGAGACTGAAAGATAAACACTAGCAAAGTAACTGGAACACAGCATGATACTTTAAACAAGTATGATATAACCTCAATAGTCTTGATACTGGATTTGTCTCATGTATATAGGGAAAAATATGTGATATATGTACACATCAGTGGCCACTTTACTGTTAATTTCATAATCTGAGTTAGTTAACAGGGGTGAGGGGAAAAAAAAGACCATTCCTGGGGAAAACAATAAGAAAAAAGGATCTCTGCTTGACTGACATCATCCTACATTTCAAGAGTGAGCCTTTGCCATGTCAGAATTTCTTTCAATAGAACTCACTGACAATTAAGCAGTTTTACTAGTAAGAGTTAGGTCACTTCTAAAACACTTTCCAACAGCTATTTAGAGTCACTTGAGCTTGTAAGATATTTACAGCACAAGCAAACATGCCTGCAAATTTTGGCTATATCCCTGACAACTGTAATTAAACTGGCTGGCAGCCATTCAAATACTGGCCTTTTATAGCATCCACTACAGAAGAGTGATTCTGGAAAGCCTGAGGTTTCTGCACCTGAACAAAGGCCATACCCACCAGCACCACGAAGACAATATGAAAGCAGATGACAGTTGTCAAAGTTAATCAACACGCACGATTTATGAGGATGATTTTTGCTGGCAGAGTACAAAGTACAACAGAAAAGAGCAAACAGAAGGAAATATTGCACCAACACACCTGGCATCTTTCACGCGTTCATTTGCCTGGTAATATCCAGCTATCACGTAGCTATTCTCTTTGCACCAAGAGTCAATCTGAAAAAGTAATTGGAACAATTAAGCTTGGAGGGGAGGGGAGGAGAAAAATGAGAAGGAAATCCTGTGTCTGGCTGTGAATAAAAGAAGCATTACAATGTCTTTGCCATTGCTTCTTTAAACATACATATTTGTGTGCACTACAAGTTCACCTACCAGGGCTTCTCCTTATAACTGAGGATAGTGAGCCAGGAAAACACAGAAACATCTGAAGCAGAGAAAGCAGCTGGAATTTTCCTTTCCTTTCCTTAGAGAGCGTGCATAAAAAAACCCCACCTCAACTGCTATATTCAAATGGATTCCAAAATCGTATCTGATGCTGACCCGTGGCATCCTCTAAGTCAAATCAATCTCATTTCTAGCAATAATTACAGTATCAGACTGCATAAACAAAAAAGCCACGTGAATAATCCCTCCTCTACAAGGGATGACATGGATTTACACAGTAAAATAAAGGCTGTGCTGCAGCTGAGGGTTAACGTTTCAATTATGAACCCATTCTGAGGGTTTAGAATGATGGTTTTAATTGGTAGCGGGATGAAAGCTTGGCATTAAAGCCAGAAGCTCAGACATGAAAATGTAATAAATAACAACAATAATAATAATAATTTGTTGCTTTAAAAACTAAAGACCTACATTAGCTTTTGCTGCCTTCGAAACGAGACTTTTTAAGTTCTCAGTTCCCTCAGTAGTAATTAAAACCTGCTTCTGAAATAAAACCCCAAACCAAACCAACCCCCCAAAAACACCCTCTTGGACTTTCACATGTCTTTCCACCTGCAATTTCCAACCAATCTCAACAATCTTAATACAAGCTACTTTTGCTGATTCTTTGTACCTAGACTGCTCTAAAGCAGCACTTGCAATTTCAAAAGCTACAAGTTTGTGGGCAGGTGTACCCTGTGTTCTGTTGTGCTCAGATTAGATCTGGAGCCTGCTCCTTCCATCAGTGTTATGGGATAACTCAGATATGAGCAGATCAAACTTATGGATCTGGTTCTAGATCAACAGTGCACAGACTTGATCAAGCAACAGCAGCAACTGACCTGGAAGAACCAGGTCCCACCAAAACCTGCCACAGTTTCTCAGTCCTATTGGAACAGAGGCACTTAGTTACAAACACTTTCAGCTATGCTAACCTCACTGATTTATTCAGCAATCATGTGTTACACTGCACAGGACAGGCAAGAGAGCCCTCCTTCTCAGCTTTACAATGATAAAAGCTCACTTCTATAGCTGCTCTGCCAGCATTTATTGACACCTTTGCCTTTGTTTAACTAAAGAAGGGGAGCAAAAGGCCATGGGCTCTTTTCAAATGATGTGTTTCAAGGCTTCCAAGCATCATAGGAGCCATCAAATGCAACTGACAAACTACAACATGTTTTATTAAGTCCTAATTAATGTGGGAAGTATCAGGTGGTTCCCCATCTTTGCCTTTTTGTATCAAAAACAACAAGCAAACACTTAAGGCCATGCTATTTCTTAGGTTCCATAATGATTTCACATGCTGGTTACTGCAGATGTAGCAATATATTTCAGACGTTGCAAGAAACAGGATTTATTTTCTAATAATCTGATTCTACAGCAACATCTACACCAGAACATTTCATTGAAGGCCTAAAGCTTTGTATAGGAACTGTTGAGCTGGGGCCTGAACCACTGATTGAGCATCTGGGGAAAGAACCCAGTCAGCACAGGTGAAGGCAATTCATGTGTGGGACCAGGAGGGGTGGATCCTGGCTGCACCTCTCTTAGAGCTCATCTAAGTGCTGACTGCCCCTAGGGAAGGATTTCTTTCTGGGGATCCCTGCTTGGTGAAGCTTTCCTCTGTGAACCTGGAATCTTCTGATACAGGTGAGCAATCTTCTCTTCTTTTATAGCATCTTTGCTTGTCCTTCTGTCATCACACCTCTGGTGTTATGCCTTTCCCATTGTACTGATCTGTTCAATTGCTACAAGCCCGTAGAAGTTCACTGCCCCAAATCCTCTAGAAAGAATTGATTTAAAGACAAACCCTCTACAGATTTCAAATATACTATGTATCTTATTCATTAGAAACTAGCCATTATTTGTTCCTACAGGACAAACAAATTATTCTGGTCCAAAAAGGTAAAGGTGATCCCTACATCACAGCATTTATAAGCAGAATTATTGCATTTTCCTGGGAAATAACAGAGAAAATGTAAGTGGAAACAGCAGAAAATGACTACACCAGCAGCATACACTCTTTAGTTACTCTTGTGCTGTTACACTGGTGTAGGTCTATTTGCGACTGCCAGGTTTGGTATGCTCCACAGCATGCTCCATATGGCAAACCAACATGGCCAGGAGTCAGACCATGCTTGCATTCCAGTGTCTCAAGACTGTATTTAGTCAAATCCAAAAACATCTTAACATTAACACTTCCTTGATGTAACTGCATTTGGAGAAAGCAGGAATTTAATTACAAATAAGTACTTTTTGATGAAGCAATCTATTAAACTGAGGGAGATGCTCAGGTCAGGAAGTCTATGTGAGTCAAAACCTAGTTATACTTACTGGTATCAGTGAGGTGTGAGTTTTCTACAGCTAATAACATGTCTGAAAGTAAGTAAGGGTAAGAAAACCTGCAGCTTAAATCATACACAGGCTTCAGGTGTGTGGTGATGATGCCTACAGCAAAGGAGCTGAATTGTTTCCCTGCTTCCAGCTTCACAGGGCACCAGCCAACCACAAATCACCATACAGATGAAATCCAAGCACATTTCATTCCCCTTGGCTCTTGCTGTTGACAAAGGAAGTGCCCTAAAGTGCCAGATGGAAAGGAGAAACAATCTAGGACAGCTGCTGGTCTTCAAGACTTTGGGGCTGAGGCTGAAAACTGCAATGTGGGAAGTGCTGATGTTGATGATGTGGTGGAAGAGCTATGCCAGGGAAGGTCCAGGTTAGATATTATGGACAATTTCTTCTCAGAGCAGTGAGGCACTGGCACAAGGGAATGGTGGGGTTGCTGTCCCTGGAGGTGTACCAGAACAGTGGAGATATGGCACTGTGGGATGGCTTTGGGTGGACTTGGTGATCTTGGCTGTCTTTTAAACTTAATGATCCAATGATTCTATGAGGGATTGTCCCACAGCAGCAGGCAAGCTGCAGGGTACTGCTGTAAGACTGTGTCTGCACACGAGTGAACTCCCCATCACTTTGCCCAGGGGAGATAAGAGATGAAGAGTGAGCCTGTGACACGCAAGATGAGACTTTACCAGGTGTGCAGCATGAAGAGACTTCATTTTGTTTTCCTGTTTAGACTAACTGCTGCCATAAAGAAAGAAATTGATAAAAATGAATTAAAACACGTACATGTGCATAAGTACACGTGTTCTGACCTTGATGTAAGGTAGGTGATGTCCAGATAGGTGATGCTGCTTGAAGGTAAGGATGGAAAAGCCCTTTCTGCTGCACGATGCAGCCCTTCAGGCTGAGATTTCTCCCAGCATAACACCACAACAAAAAAAGCAGATTCCCCACGCAGACGCAGCTAGCGAAAACCACAGAGAAGCCCTGCAGATGTAAGAGCACAGCAGGCAGCTCTCAGGGCTCCACAAACTCGCTTCTCTCCCACATTTAGCTATGAGCAGCATAGGCCTGGCTGCACTCCATCCCCACCGTTCTCCCTCCCAGGCTGAAATCTCTTCCCGGCCCCCCAGCCGTACCAACGTGAGGGCCACCTCCAGCATCGGCGCCAGCGCCAGTGTGCCGTGGAACAGCGGAATGCAGTCGACGAACAGCGAAGGTGGCCCGGCCTGCTCTCGGCCCCGGCTCCCCGGCGGTCTCTCGGCCACCAGCAGCCCGTTCACGGCGCAGTGCGGGTACTTGGCGCCGTGCAGCACCATCTTGCAGTAAGCCTGTGTGGTCAGCTTCATCCCGACGGTCCCGCGAAGCGCAACCGCACCTCGCAGCCCGCCGCCTTCCCTCAGCTCGCCGCCTACCGTAAAGCGCGCCCGCCGCCTTTCCTCAGACTGCCACCTGCCGTAAAGCGCGCCCGCAGCGCTGTCGTGAAACCAGAGAGGCGGTCCTCCCGCATCCCATCAGCCACCGCGGCGGAGGGAGAGTACACCCCCCAGCGCCGCTCTCGTTCTCCTGTGCCGAGTTCCGGCGTGCGCTGCTCTTCCGGCCGGCGGCTCCTTCCGGTGGAAGCCCGGCGTAGAGGACGGTCGGCAGGTCGTCGGGCTGGGAGGCCGCGGGGAGCCGGGGGAGGGCCTAAGGGATACCGGGAGGGCCTAGGGGAACAGCGGGGACGCCCAGGGTACGTGAGGCACCGCTCGTCGCCGCCTCTGCGTCGGCACCGTCCCGGCGACCGCGCGCTGAGGGCCGCCCGCCGCTTCTCGAAGGGGTCTCGTCGCTGTTGCCCGATGACGTCATATCGGCGATATGACGTCATGTCACGCGGTGTCCCCGCCGCGCTGGGGGTTGAGCAACAGCTCAAGGGCAGAGGTGCACTTCTGGCTAGGCGGTGCTGCGGGGGTGTGTTGGGTTTTATGCTGAAACCCGTGAGAAATCCGTACCCTGGAGCAGGGAACGTTCTCAGAAACCGTTATTGAGCATCTGCTGCCCGGTGCTGGAGCTCCAGTGCTCTGTGAGGTGCTTCCAGGCCCGGCCTGGGGCTCCCTGCCACCAGCACCGGGCTGCTGAGGGCATCTTGCATGGCTGAACCAAACACAATGCTGGAGACTGCTGGAAAATGGGATGCATTGCACAGCTCAGCTGGTGTGATGCTACTGTAAAGCTTGGAGCTGTTTGCTCTGTCCTTCAGAATAGAGGCAGGAAGCCCAAAGGCAATAAACTGAGGGATATTATTTCAGTTTAATGTGTTTATTGTCTTCAGCTGGCAGTGATTTATTTACCTGTTGTTGTTCTGTCCTGGCAGGATGTTGGCTTCAAGAGCATTCAGCCTCATTGGGAGAAGAGCCCTTTCCACCTCCATCTGTGTGAGGGCACATGGGCATGGTAGGTGGCACTGCTTTCCTTTTAGTAAGGACAATAAAAGTGGTGCTTGAGAGGAAGGATACAAAGTGCAACTATTAGGATTCTTGAAGCTGAGAAAGAGAGCTTTTTTCCAGCTACAGGCTGGTTCCCAATAGCAAGGGAATTGCAGTGGTTAATTATGTTGTTAGATATATTAGTGATGTATCCCCTTACAGCTATAGGAGACAAATAACACGAAACTTGTCCAAAAGATTTGTATAAAGCACAGAGTAGCTCAGTAATTCTGAGTCTGTGATGTTATTTGCTGGAGACAGCTCTTTGGCATTACATGTTCTTGCAGAAATTGCTGTTTTGAATGCTCTTCCTGTGACATTTCCTGTGTGCCTGTTGCTGCTCATGCATGGGTAAGGAAGGATGCAGGATAGCGAGGTTGGCAAGGTTGGTTTCTCAGCCTGGCAGCAGGGGCAGTGTTTGGGCAGCACCTTTGCCAGCAGATGGCATTGCAGAGGTGGCAGTGGGGTTAACTGATGGAGAGCAGAGGGCCAGATGGAGACTGGGATGGAAAAGTATAGAGGACTTCTGTGTATTGAGAAGGGAATCAATATGACAGCTAGAAACAGAGCTGGCTTGGAGATGAACAGTTTAAAGCCATTTTGCGTGTTACCTTTTAACTAGATCCATAGAATCATAGCTACTTGATTCTTCTAAAAATTGGACTCATTTTAAGTAGTTTCTCTCTTCTGTCTTTCTCAGTTGAAGGCTTTGGCCAGAAGTCTTCTTTTTGTTCCCCCAAGTTTTCTTAACTGTATCATGTTTTAACTGCACTGTTGGCCTTTTGTTTGTATTGTAAGCAGTAAGAGATGTTTGTGCAGGAGTCAGGAGTTTGACTTTGTCTTTTCTGTGCCCAAACACAGCTGGTGTTGTCAAAGCAGAGGATTTCAGCCATCCAGCATACGTTGATCGTCGTGATGTTCCCCTGCCAGAAGCAGCCTTTGTAAAGGAGCTCTCTGCTCAGCAGAAAGCTCTGAAAGAAAAGGAAAAGGCATCTTGGACCGCTTTGTCTGTTGATGAGAAAGTTGAATGTAAGCCTCTGAATAACCTTACAGCTGACAATAATGAGACCTAATCTGTTGCATGTTCATTACTGATGACTTACTAGAAAGACATTCAAAGAAGGTGGCTCTAAGCTGCTGCTAAGCCCTGCTTTACTGAGTGGCTCTGTGGGCAGAGACTTGAGGCATGAGAGAACTCTGTTAATTATGACGGAGCACAAGTGGAGATCAGTGGTTTGTGTGGCTTCTGTTCTTACTGCTATTACAGAAAGCTAGATATGCCTGTTGGTCTCTGTTATGTGCCTGAGGTCACGCAGTGCATTTGATAGAAGGTATTTAGTTAACTAAATACCTTAGCAAAGAGCCTGTCTTCTTCCAGTTGTCATAACCAGTATTCTGAATTAGAATCAACAGTATTTAAGTAGTCAAGCTGAGTTAATTGAGCCCTATATATTTTGCTGTATTGACCTTGGCATCCCCAGATTTCAGCTGCTTAAAGTGCCAAGCAGGTGTTTTGATTTGCAGATAAATCTGTTGTCTTTCTAACAGCCGTCATGTTGTGCAAGTGAGAACGTGTTTTATTGGATTTGTGAAGAGCTCAGTGTCCACCAGTGTCAAAGCAGGAAGATGTAAAGCTCTCTCGAATATTCATAGGCACTTTCCAAATCAAATGCTGCTTTGAGCTTCATGACATGTACATCTTGTTGGCAAAACTGTGAGAAGCCTTTTAAATATAAGCATTCCCATTCAAACCCTTTGTGTTAAGGAGCTTTGTGGTAAATAGTAATACTGGGAATTGGATGGGGGGAAGGAAAGCTCCATTACTTCTCTTAGTTCTATTATGCAATCTTTGCACAACTTCACAGTCACATAAAATGGAGAGTAACATTGTCTTTGCTCATGAGTGGAAGGTGGAATGCAACTCATTTCCTTTGGCACAAATGCTTTGGTTTTGGCATGAAGGAGGCCAGCTAATTTGGAAGATATCTTAACATCTCTTCCGTGTCATACAGCTTTAAGCTTTGGTTTGCCTCTAGCAAGCTATGTGTTGCCTGTGAGCTGCAGGAGAAGTAAAAAAAATTATTTGATGCTGGTTTTTTTTTTCAGTGTACCGTATCAAATTCAATGAGAGCTATGCAGAAATGAACAAAGGAACAAATGAGTGGAAGACCGTCCTTGGTGGAGTGCTTTTCTTTCTTGGTGTTTCTGGCCTCATCCTCATTTGGCAGAAAATGTATAGTAAGTAAACATTGTATAGTGTTCCCCCCTAATTTGAGAGATCAGTTGAGATCTGATTGAGAAATCAGGAAGTTCTCCCTCAATTGCTCTGTTTCAAAATGCTGTGTGGAACAGCCATCCTGTTGACCACGTGGCAGTTGCTGTTTTTAGCTTCTGAAAGACTGGGTGGATGTAAGCAGGTATGTAGCATAAATTTTCAGGAAGTTGATTTGTGGAGAGGTAAAGTTACTGGAGAGAGTTCTGGAGGAAAGAGGGGAAAGAATAGCAGTGTGCTGATAATCCCAGAGCTTTCCCTGTCTGTGAGACCTGCTGTTACAAAAGCTTGCTGCCTTCTTGGTCATAAACATTTGGGTTTCTGCCACGCTTGGCTTCCTTCCCAGCTAAAGATCCTACCTCAAGGGAGCCCTCCAGCTGCCATGAGGCAAAGCACGCAGCTGAATGAGCTGCTCTCTATCTTGAGGCTTCATCTACTTGTGAAAGTTAGGAGAGCACTGTTGTCTGATGAGCAAAACTGCTAGAGAATCAACCCCAAAATCTGCTGAGCTGAATGCTTCAAAAATTTGATTTGGGGAATCTTTGGTTTGAACAGGTGATGGTGCACATATGATCAGCACTGTTTGCTTCAGAGAGAAAAGCTTTCTGTTAGCAAAACTTGGACCCGTGTTCCTGAATTGTTAATTTAGTGTGGTGATGTAATTCTGTTCTGTTTTTAATTGCAGTGTACGGCCCTATTCCGCACACCTTCTCTGATGAGTGGCTGTCAATGCAGACAAAGAGAATGTTGGACATGCGAATTAATCCCGTGGAGGGCATCTCTTCCCAGTGGGATTATGAGAAGAATGAGTGGAAGAAATGAAGCAACTCAGTGCAACCTGTTCTGCTTGAATATGAAATGATTCCATCACCTGTGTGTGACCTCGTTGCTTATGTACTGGAACAATCTCTCCACCTAAATAGATGAAAATAAACATCTGGTTAACTTGAAAGTTTCATTTTATTGGTCTTCAGATGCGTTTGTTGTGATGGTAACTTGTAGTGCAGGTTGTCGGGCAGGGTTTTCTCCATATATCCTTGTAATGATTGTTATATAGACAGCATTAATCAGTTAAGGGGAATGAAACGCTTCTACTTCTTGTGGGGGGGGATAATAAGATGAAATGTAGTTTGGAAAGTATGATTTTTGTATTAATTGCCTTGAAATTGAAGGGATGAAATTCCACCTAGCTCTGCAGTGGGTATTGTTGAATGTTCAGGACAGTCATCCTACTGTTCTGGCACAGGAATAGGTCCTTAGGAGCTGCAATACCTTTTTTTTTTTTTTTAAACTCCTCTTTAAGGCTGCATTTCTGGGACACAGCCAGGAGTCGCAGTGGTTTGAACTACATGTAAGGTAAGCAGATCCCAGCTCCTGGGGAGGCTCAGTGTCCCATAACTCAGCACCAGAAATAGCATGTCAGCTCTCCAAAAGGCAGCAGTGCTGAATCAAAGCATGTAGGGTATGTGGTGGAGATGAACGCTGCTTCCCTCGTCCTTGTAAAGGGGACTTGGCTCTGCATTCTTGTCTTCAACTGCTTTTCCCATCTCAACAGCATAGGCAGGCTGCAGACCTCACTTAAGTGTTTTGTGCAGACTGAAGTGAGGAAGAGAGAGAAATACCCATTGTAGTTCAGGGTTTAGATGCAAATCTGGGAGGTGTTTCCTTGCCTTGCCTCTCTTGTAGCTGGATGCTGTTCAGAGAGGATGGCTGTGGTTGAGGGGAGGGTAAGAAAAGCCATGCTTTGTGGGAGCAACCCAGACCTAAATGCAGTGTTCTGAGGAAGCTCATAGCTCAGACGTGGCTTAAGTTTTCCAGAGCCTGAGCTACGAAGGCTGGCGCCTCTGTATTTGCTTTGCTCTGTCTGTAGCTGCCAAATTTTGTTTTCCCTTGGGCTATCCACTAATGCACATTTTAGGCTTCCTCCAGGCAAATCCCAGTCTTTGCTTTTAAAGCAGCCCTCCAAAGATCCGAACTACTAAAACAAGCTTTGCCTTCAATTAATTTGTTTCCTGCCTACAAGACTGTCGTGTTTTTCCATCCATTTAGCTGCTGGAAAGCCCAGGGAGTCCCTGCTGCTGCTCATGGGGAGCTGGCCAGCCTTTCCCTTGCAATAAGGCAGCTTCTGGGAAGGCTTTAAGGTGAGGTGATTCAGCAGGCATGAAGCAACAAGCTCCCCTTCCTGTTTGCCTCCAGAGTGCAGCAAAGGGTTTTACAAAGGATGTCGGGGTGCCTGCAGCAGAGCTGGCTTCATCACAGTGGTAATATCTGACAGCAAAACAGTGATGTCTGCAACCAACCCAGCAACAGCACGACAACAAACACAGCTTCAAGTGCCTTGAAGTGTCATCCTGAGGCTGCACTGCTGTTTTCTGTGTCAGCATTGGTTCAGTGCCTGTAGGAAACATCTCAAATGGAGTGTAGGAAATGATCTGGTCTGCTGGGAGATGTCTGCTGGCTCAGGCTGGGCTTTCTGGCACTTGAAGCAACCTTGACTTCACCTCGCCATGGGTCACAGATTCATGGGGACTGCAGGGATTTCACTATGCGAGCAGTTTGCTTTGTTGGTTTTGTTTTTCTCTTCCCTTTCTTTCTTTGTGTCAGGCTAACAGCATCGACCTGGGAGGGGGCTGGCAAGCAGCAAGACGGATCTGCTTTGGAAATGGAGGTTTGGGAGCATGTGCTGGAATGACAGAGCTGCTCCACAGCTCATCTTGTCTCCTTACTGCAAGGAGGGGGAGGTGGACTCATTCCCAATGCTGCACGTCGCCTGTGCCACTCTGTTTTTTTGGGGTAAGTACCTTGTTTTGAATTCTGCTCTCATTCCCATAACTGGGAGAAACTGGTATGAGTGAGAGAGACCCTGCTGAGCCCGGGGCTTGCAGCAGACAGCAGCATCCTAGCATGAAACCTGGCCTCAAAGCAGCACAGAAAGGCAGTGGGGTGTCCCCACTGTCCGTGCCACCTTGGTGAGGTGGTGCCTTGATTTAGGAGAGCAATGCCCACTGAGAGTCCACAGAGAGTCCAGAGTGGAAACCCGAGCCTCAGATCCCCATTTCATCCTCCCCAGCTCTGCAGCAGCTGCTTTTCCCTTTGCCTGATGACACAGAGCTGGTGAGCGGGCTGAGTTTGCTGAGGCTCTGAGTGCCCCATGGGGAAAGCAACTCTTACTGTTCTCTGTGGGCTTTTTGAGTGTTTTCTTGCAGATAACCCTGGATACTGAGAGCCTGTCTACATCCTCACCCTGGGGAGAGAAAAGCCATGGGGAGTGGAATGAGCAAGGTACCGAGGGCAGGGCTGAGTGCCTAGGGGTGTTCAACAGGTGGCAGCTGGCTTTTGGGTCTTGTCTTTTGGGTGTTACAGCCACGGTGGCATAAACTTCCTGGACTGATTGGGGGTCCCAGGAGCTGTGTATGGAAACTCCCCCCGTTTGTTCCCCCATAGGGATGTGTCTGTGTAATGTAAACAGGCAGTGGGGCTGTGCTGGGGTTGGTGCTGAGGGCTGGCAGAGGGATCGATGTTTGCTTGTATCCTTAAATAACCACTGGTGTATGCATTATCCAGGTTAAAATTAGACACCAGGATAGCAGCAGAGCAGCACTTGGGATAAATTAGAGCCACTCTGAGCTCTTTTTATTGCTCCTCTGGGTAATATAAAGCAATGATTTCTCTCCATCCATCCATCTCAGAGCACAGCTCTAGATACGTGGGATTCTTCGGGCTCAGGATAGGCTCCCCGTGAGCATAACATCCTTCTCCATGATATCCACCCACCCAGGGTTAGGAATGCCCCCATGTGGTGCTGCTCACTGGGTTCATGATGCACAGAGCCCAGCAAACTCCTTATGGATAAGCTGTGCACTCACCCAGCTGGCAGAAGCAACCTTTGGAACCATTTGCAAGACTGGTTGCTGTAGAACAGCCAAACACAGCAGGAGGCTGCTCCAGGTTGGGCTTTGGTTGGTGGTTGCAACACTTTGCACCCAAGTGCACAGCAGCCAGCAGCCCCAATCCATCCGTGTGCTGAGTTTTCCTGAGCTCTGAGGGTTTTGGTTTGGCATTCAATGCTGGCAGAGTGCTTTGGGTGAGAACAACCTCTGCTGTTTGTCAATGAAGATGCTTCATTCATTAGCTGCTTGGTTTATCTTTAGCTGGGGATATTTTCTCTGTGGGGCCCCATCCTGTGAACACAGGTGATGCTCCTGAGTGATGCAGAAGCATCTGTGGGTTGAAGGCTTGTGGGAAGCAGAGGGGATGAGGTGTCAAACAGAACAGCTCTGCTTTTTTGCCACCTTGCAGGTGGTCACAGGGCTCTACCTGGGGAACATCCGTGGTGAGTCTGGGAACCCTGCCTGGCAGAGGGGTCTTTTTATGGGGAAATGGCTGCAAAATGGGTTTGTCCATCCCAGGAGAGGTCAAACCGATGGGGTTGGCCATCCTTGTACCACTGGGTTTGGGTGTATTTGCCCCCCAGATCCCATGGGGTGGGAGGTGGTGGGATGGGAGTGGGATATCTGTAAGTATTTGCTGGAGCTGGTCCTGCTTGCAGACTCAGAGGACAGGGACAGCCTGCGGAGGCATGGCGTGACACACATCCTTTCCGTGCACAACGGGGCCAAGCCGGTGCTGGAGGTGAGTGAGGGACACCGAGGGATGCTGCGTTGGCACGCAGTGCTGGGGATGGGGTAGCTGGGGGGGCACAGAGCCTCCCGGGAGAGTTTGTAACCGATGGAGGCTGTGACTGAAGGTGCCCGACCCACGGTGCTGCCCCTGGTAGGGGCCACGAGAGGGCAGCGGAGCCCCACGTACGGCATTGCCGGATCTGCATCCAGCCCCGGTGCTCAGGACGGGGCCTTGAGAGGGCTCTGCCTGCTCACCTCCACGTCGGGCAGCCCCTGAGGACCCTCCATGCAGGGCCGAATCACCTGAGATCACTCCCCATCCTTCCAGCGTTGATCCCTTTTTCTGGCGTTGGATTTGGGAATGAGCATAGAGGAATCCTTTAAAATCCTGGGATCCTAAAAATAAGAGGTGGAGGAGGTAGTTCTATCCTATTCCACGTCCCCAGAGTGGTGTAATGCTCTGTCACTTCTGGGAGTGACACCTGATGGCTTTTCCTCATCTCGTGGATGGCTGCTGCTGTCCTATGGGAAGGGAAGGTGAAAGGAGTTGAGGGAGGGGAAACTGAGGCAGGAATGAACTGCTGGGTGCGTGTGTGTGCTGGGTGCATGCAGGATGAACAGCCCATGGTTCTGTGCATGGGAGATGCTTTTCCCTTCAAAGACATTGAGCAATGAAACTGAGGAGAGAGAAGGAAGGAGGGTGCAGAAAATGGGGTCAAAGAACTGGTTCGTTCAGGGAAGGGGCAACAGCTGGGGCATGGCCATATAGGCAGCAGCCTGCCTAGGCAGCTTGCAGCCCACAGCAGTGCACAGGATCAGTGGAAAGGGGAACAGGAAAAGCATGGTGGGTTGAGCAATGTGTCAATCACAGCTCCTGGCCGGGGACCGCAAACCCCAGCAGCGTTCCCATGCCTGCAGCCCAGCTTCCCTCCCCGAGGTGGGATGGTGGCACATGGTCCTGAGGGGAAGGGGAAGCCACCCGGGGTCCAGCTGAATGTATTGAGTACTACTACTGTCATGCTGGCTTTCCCAGCTTGGTGGGTTTCCTCACTCATCCAGGTGCTGGGAAACTGCAATGCATCATAGCTCATCCCAGTTGGAAATCATCCCACAAGATCTTGCTTGTCCCCGTGTCCCAGCTCTGTGGTTCCACTGCAACTTGCTTGCCAGAGTGCTGTGGTTTGCTGGGGTGTAGGAATGCACCCAGCAGCAGGTTGGGGAGGATCAGGCTGGAGCTATCATATCACAGTACCCTTAAGGTTGATAAAGACCTCTATAATCCCCAAGCCCATCCCATCACACCTGCTAACCACGTCCCTATGTGCTGGGTCTTGAATGCTTCCAGGTATGGTGACTCTACCACCTCCATGAGAAATACATCAGGTGGTCCCCATCCCACTGGGGGCTGTGGGATCAGTATGGGATAAGGCTAGGGAGAGGCAATGGGATGGAGGGGAGATGCTTGGGAAACCCCGTGTACTTCTAGCAATGTGGGTCTTTCCAATGTGGGAATGTCCCCATGATGGCCATGCCCATCCAGCTCTACTCCTTCCCTTTGACATTCACTTGGAATAATTGGCTTTCTCCAGCATTTTCATGAAAGGAAGCAAGAGCAGCTTTGGGCAGCGGTGTTATAGGGAGATGAATGGAGATGTGGCAACCCTTGGTGTGCTGTGCTTGGCTGTGTCAGCTCTGGTGAGATTTCCACCCTGTTTGCTAAGAAAAAAAAAAAATCAGATGAAAAGGGTCTAATTTTAGCTCGGAACAGGGAGGATCGAGGAAGCGATGCTCTAAAGAAAGTGTAATCTGACCTACGCCAACATGTGGCAGGATGATTTCTTGTGTATTAAAGGAACCAGGAGGAAATAAGTCATTGATGAGAGTGACTTCATGGCTGTGCATCCGCACACATTGATCTGACAGGGCATGGCTGTCACCAGAGCATGGACGGGGATGGGGACAGGGATGGGAAGGCTGTGGTGCCCCTGGATCAGAGCAATCCTGACTCTGTCCAAGATGCTTTGGAACATCCCATTTTAAAGAGGGGCTTTGCCCTTAGAGGCACCTAATAGAAGGGTTATGTAGAAGGAAAAGGGAAAATGGGAGATATCTTACTACCACAACTTTCTCTTTATTTCAGGACATGACTTATCTCTGTATCTCAGCCTCTGATTCTTCTAGCCAAAACCTGTAAGTCATCTGCACTCCCTTTGCCTCCCAAGGTAGCATTTTGGTGGCTGTCGGTCGATACGAGATCAGATTTCTCAGAATGAATATTCACTTTGCACTGCCAAAACTTCGTGTCATTGAGTTTGATGAAAGCTGTAGCTCATTTTAAGGCAGTTAATAGTGTTTGCATGGCCTAACATCTGTTTCTCTGTGTGTTTGCGGTCGGTAAATTCAATTTTCCATCAAATCTTGGAATTATTCTACCAGGCAGAGCTCTAAACTGGAGCAAGGTTCATTGGTGCAGACAGACAGTGATTTGTATTGGCCTTTCAGGCTTCTTCCTTGGAAGGAGAAATTGGGTATTTATCGAAATGAGTAATTTTTTCCCCCATACAGAACATAAATACTGGACACGTAAGGATGCTCTAGATGAGTTTGGGGAGAGGTGATGGTGGGGCTGATGGCTGCAGTGCTGATTGTAGCAGGTGGTTTTCATCATCCCCTGCTTAGGGCAGTAGGCACCCAAGAACCATTCATTATAACCAGAAAAATGGGTGACTTCTGGGAATTTTTCTTGCCAATCCACCCCTAAAAAGGCAAAAGCTTCATGTGCAATGACCGTACCAGGCTCCATTGGTGGAGGTTCCAGTTTTCAGCATCCCTGGGAGAAATTCTGCTCCGCAGGCATGATTCTGCTTGCTCATGCTCCTGCTGAGCGGAAAGAGAAGCTTTACAAGAAAGCCCTGCCTCAGCAAGAAGGAGGGTTTTTTTGGTTTTTTTTTTTTTCTGTCCTCTTGTTTCTTTGCATTTGTGGTATGTCTACTGAAAGGGGAAAATAAAGAAGGACAAGGCTGGCTGCCGGAAGGAAGACTTATTCAAGGAACTATTTTCTGCTTGCCACTTTAAGTCATGGATTTCACAATCCTGGTGAACTTGGTGTCTTATGGTGGAGATGTTTGTGACTCAGGGCCTCGCTGGCTCTCAGTGTTACCACTCCTATGGGATGCAACTGGGAGGTGTTCCCCCCTCGCTGGCTGGGAAGGACCACAAGTGAGGATGGGCAGACAGCTCAGTGAGGGTCAATGGGAGGAGACACAGCCACCTTTTCATGTCCAAGGTTCAGTGCTGTTGGTTCCAGAGAAGGGGTGCAGAAGAGGTGTGGGACTGGGAGAGCTTGGAGCCTTGTGGGTTGTGTAGGCAGTATAGAAAAGTCCCTATTTCCCAACAGGAGATGCTCTGCTGGCGATGGATTGACATCTCCATCCAGGGCCAAGAGACAAAATATTCTTAGCATGACTACAGCTTCAAAGAATCCTCCACACCTCCTTCTCTTCTTGGCTTTGGGGCAGCAGAACTCCTAAAACTCCTCACAGAATGGCTATCTCTGAATATGCCTTTGACTGGGGCACCTGAGCCCCGTGCTTCTACAGAAGGCTGCAGAGCATCCCTGCAGGGCAGACAGAAGGGAAGGGAATTTTGGGATGGTGTTTGTGCCCAGATTGGTCTCCTGGCCCTGGGGGGTCTCAGGAGGATGCTGAGGGGAATATCTCTGGCAGCATGTGTCTGAGCTTCTGAGAAAGCAGGAAGGCTGCATGGGGCTGGCCCAGCCTGGTCACGTGGAGCAGAGGAAGTTTGGGACCCAGCGGTGGGATGGGGGCTGTGTGGGGCCACCTCCTCTCCTCCTCCTCCTCCCCCCAAGGAATGCAGGGCTGTGCGCCAGGCTTTGGGTCAGTGAGTCCATGGTCAATCTGGGCAGGGCCCCAAGTTACCCAGGAGCAGGTTTGCTGCTTCAAAACTCCCCCGTTGTGAGCAAGGCTGGGCAGCAATCATTGTGAATATTTGCTGAAGAGCCAAACAAACAGTTCTCTATGAGCTCTGGGAGATGCTTGCTGTTCAACAGCAATAAACAGGAGAGATGGATGGCATCGGAGCACGTGTAACCCTCCTGTGGACCTTGGGTTCATCGGTGTACGCTGAGTTATTTTACTCTTTTTTTCCACCTCTGTGTCTTGATGCTTTCAGAAAGGTGAGTGCTGCAGCAAAGCACCATGCTGCATTGCAGCTGAGCAGCCAAAAAGCCTCGTATCTCTGTCTGTTCTGCTGCAAAACTCGCTGGTTTGGTTTAATGCACTCCCTCTGCACTGGCAGTTGCTGGTTTCTAGCAGGAGGCTTTCAGGAATGTGTAAAGCAAAATGCCCTGGGAATGACCTGTCCTGCATCTTTCTCCCCATGGAGGGGACAGGGTGGCATTGTTTAGAAACTGATGGTTCAGGATGAGCGCTGACACAGGGATGAGCTGCGCACGGGGATTTTTCCCTCCCATTGGGTTGGTGGCATCAGCCTGCTCCATCTCATCACCTTGGGATGCAGGAAATCCTCCAGAACGCTCTCCTGCTTTTCCTTCCTGGCTGATGCAGGCCAGTCCCTTCCTCTGGCAGGGGACCCATCTCTGTGCTGGCCCCAGGGAAATCCTGGGGATGATTCCAGGAGGCAGCAGCTCCTTCTGCTCTCACCTCACTGCCTCTCCCCCAATCAGGATGCAGCACTTTAAGGAGAGCATCAAGTTCATCCACGAGTGCCGGCTCCGTGGGGGAGGCTGCCTTGTCCATTGGTAAGAGCCTCTGTTGGCAGCCTGTGGGCTTCCTCAGTGTGATGCTAAAAGGTGGGGAAAAGGGTCATCCAAGGGACACCTGGGAGCTTCCCAGGTGCTCGGAGGAGGTGTGGGGATGGAATCCCAACAAATGTGGTTGGGCAGTGGGGATGGGATCCCAATAAGTGTCCTCAATATTGAGCATCAGTTGTGGTGGAGGAGATGAGGAGTGGCATCAGGTCAACAAGATCATCCATGTCCCATAAACCTGAGCTCTAAACAGATGGGACAGGCTAGAGGAGGGGACATAACCATGTGACCTTCATGGGGCCACTGATGGGAAAGATGCCACCATGGCTGGAAAGCCCCCCTGCCATGCAGTGCTGCATCCCACGGTTGTCCCCTGCTGTGGGGTTCCCATGGTGACAGTGCCTTGTCCTCACACCGTGCCAGCCTGGCCGGGGTGTCCCGCAGCACCACCATCCTGGTGGCATACCTGATGACAGTGACAGAGCTGGGCTGGGAGCGCTGCCTGGCCGCCACCAAGGCTGTGCGCTCCTATGCCAGCCCCAACTTCGGCTTCCAGCAGCAGCTGCAGGAGTACGAGCAGACCTTGCTGAAGGAGGTGGGTCCTGCATGCATCCATGCCGGTGACTGGCGTGCAGTGACCTCGTGCCAAAGGAGGGGAGCTCTGCAGCTGAGGGCCTCTTTGGATGCATCTGCGGTGTTTGCAAATAAGCATGCCTGTTTTGCATGCAGCAATTTTGCAAACAGCGTGAGCCAGCTGTTTGCCCTTTGACCATGCTATTTATTACCTGGGGGTTTTGCTTTTTGCATGCATGCATGCAAAAACTTAAAAAGTGCTTAGACAGGGTGAGGTGCACTTAGAATAAAGCTTGTTTTTTCGAGAGTTCACCTTGCGCACTGTGGAGGGGTTGCAAGAATGGCACTGAGCTGGCACCAGGGAGTGCATATGGGTAATGTGTGCTTGGTCTCTGCAACATCCCTGAAGGGAAAACCCCAATATATGGCATGTTGTCATTGTGCAAGGGGCAGCTCCATGGGATTTCTTTGCGTGTGACAGTGGCCTAAGTGTCAGCCCCTGCCCTGGCACAGATGCTGTCACTGCTCCAAAGTTGGCTGCCAGTGCCTGTTTTCTAGCAAGGAAACTAGCACAGCTCCCACCCCTGCAATGGGGCTTCCTGTGTGCGGGCAGCTGCCGGGTGAGTCCCATGTCTGGGGGAGTGGATATGGGAAATGCAGACATTCCCACTGGAAATCCCCTCTGCCCAGCTGACTTTCCTCAGCTGCAGGAGGGGGCTGCCACCAGCACTGCTCTCGGGCTTTCCCCTGGCCTTCACCTGATCCCAGGAGGCTGGAGCCCTATGGCCATCATGGGATATGGAGAGTGGGGCACAGGGATCTGCCATGCTCATAAACCAGGGCTGTTATATCAGCTCCCTTCCTCCTTCTAAAGCCACATCCATCCCAGTGCTGCCTGCATCCTGGGGCTCAGCTTCTTCCTCCTTGGCGCCCTGCAGGTTTTGCACCCTCCAATTTCTTGCAAGCATTTTGCTTTGCTGGGTGCTCTGCGTGCTGCTCCTTGCTTGCTGGCTTCCCATTTCTGGGTGTCAGCAGTGCACAACAGTACTGCTGCTCCCTCCCCATGCAGCGTGGCTGTGCCCCAGCAGTGTCGGGAATGACTTCCACAGGGCTGGTTCCAGCTCTCTGCTGGGTGCCAGCTGGCCCTGGGAGAGGAGCAGAGTGGGTGAGCATAGCACTCTGCAAACAGGAGCTAACCTGCCTGAGGTCAGCGAGTGCAGCCCTTCCCTGCATTGGAGAAAGCGTGGGGACGCTTTGCTTATGGTTACGTGGCTGTAAGGAACAACAGCAGCTTCTTGGCAGGGGAAAGTAAATAAGGTGGATTAAATAAAGTCAATAGTGCTGTCAAGGCTGCTGCCAGCTCTGTGGTTCCTGTGAGCAACAAGCAAGGCTGCTCTCTGTCTTGGCGATGCAGCTAATGCTTGGTTTGTGTGCGATGCTGCATCTCTTATTGAGTGGCATGCGAGCTCCTGCAAAATGGGACTGCTGCTGCAGGCACCTGTGCTGTGCTTGGCATGCCTGGGGTTGGGGGTGCCCACCCACTGACCGTGGTACCCTCTGTGGCTTTGCTTTGGCAGTACCGTGCCTGGATCCGTCGTGATTATGGCAGGAACCCTTTCCAGGATCAGGAGGAGCTGCAGCGCTTGTTGGCCCAGCAGGAGCAAAGTGGGAGCAGGGAGGGCTCCTGCACCGCTCCCCCAGCACCCACCCACCCACTGCCCAGCAGCAGGAGCCCGTGGATGGACAGATAGGCAGCAGCTGCTCCCAGAGAGACACTGTCTTTGTGCCTTGCAAAAGTGACAGCTGCCGTGCCCAGCACCCATGGGGTGCAGCTCCAATGGGATGCAGTGTGGTAAAGTTTGGGGCAGGACCCCACAGCTGCTGTTATGCAGAGGCTGCTCTGCTGTTGCTTTTCCAGCCCTGTCGTATGGGAAAAATCAATTGTTACTGAGAAACAGAGGGACAGAGCCTCACTCTGTATTAAAGCCCTTCTCAGGGTCACCACAAGAGGATCCAATCCTTTATTCAAGCATTTCTAGGAAGTCCCTTGGTGGAAATTTCTGGGTATTGGAGCCTGTGAGTGGGACAAAGCTGGTGCTGAGCTGCCAAGGAAGGGGGGGGTCGATCAAAACCATGGGGATGGCTGCAGGGATAGAGGGATGGGCTGTGTTATTCTATATAGAAGTGCTGCAGTACCTGGGAAAGCACCCTGGGCAATTAGTGGGGAAAAGACCAATAAGTGCTGATGATCAAGGGAGCTGGAGGGAAGTTGAGCAAACCTTGTAGATATTGCATCGAATGCCTCGGTTATCATTTTAGGAAGCAGAAAAATGGAACTCGTGCACAGGAAAAAGAGAAGAAAGTTGGTTTCTGGTGTCAATAGGAAGTCATCGCAGATCTGTGATAAGCAGAGATTAGATGTGCAGTAGGTGTGATAACCTCATGCTACCACTTCAGCACCCATCCCACGGCCTGCCCTGCCTTGTGGGCATCCCGGGACTGCAGTGTTTCCCCTAACTCACCCCGGCTTGTGGGAACCACAGGGGATGCCCCAAGCGATTACAGCATCACAGCAGCATCTGCTGCCCAAGGAGCACCTCCTACACCCACATAGGTGCCACACAGCTGTATTCCTACATGACTGTACGTTCTGTCCTTGGTGGAAAGCAGCAGAGAGGACTGGAGGTTGCCTCTCCAGCCCTGCTCCTGGTTTTGCCAACTCCCACATCACCAATGTGGGGGGTCAGCAGTGCAATCCCCCCACCCCTGCTTGTTTCCTGCTAAAAGCGACCCTCCTCATCACATCAGGATGTGTTTGGTTTCCCCACCTCTCACGTGGGCTCTCCCAGCAGCTATTTGTTACGCATCAGAGTGAAGGCTTTGCACCTTGGCTCGTTATTTTTATTACACCATCTGCACGCATTCCCCGTTTCTCAGCATCAACCACATGGGAACACTTATGCATTACTTCCAAGAAACGGGCATGTAAGCAGGGATCATCCCAGAAAAGCCCTCCGAAGCCAAGGCTGGAGCCGAGCTTTGGGCTGTACAGAGATGCACACCCTTGGCTGGTGTCCACCTGCAGCCCAACACGTTGCCACGGGATGCCTGGGTGAGACCACCTGCTGGCAAGGAAAATAAGCAAAGCACCCTAGGTTTGGCTGAGTACCACCAGGAGCAGCCTGGGGATGAAGAAATAACGGAAATGGGATGAAATGGGCCGCAGGAGGACAGTCGGACCTTGGACATACAGACACATCCCGCCCCCGCGCCACGATGCTGATTTCCCGGAAAGGCGCGAGCTGCGGAGAAAGCCGCGCAAGCCGAGCGCGCGCGCGCGCCCCCCACTGGCGCGATCCCTCATTGGGCAGCCGGAAAGGGGGGCGGGAAGAGGAGGAGGAAGAGGGCTGCCATTGGCTGAACGGCTCTGGGGGCGGGGCGACGTGGGGCGCGCCCTGCGGAGCGCTATAAGGGTGCGGGCGCGGGCGCGCGTTGGGGTGCGGAGCGGGGTGTGCGGAAGGTAATTGATGGGGGTGTGCGGGGACTGGGGGGGGGGGGGGGGTGAGGTTTGTGGTAAGGTGTTTGGCTGGAGGGTTTTAGGGGTCGGAGTGGTTTTCGGGTCGTTGGATGCTGGAATGGGGCATGTAGAGCGCTGGTGGTGCAGGGGTGAGGCTTTAAGGTGCTCGTCTGTAGGGTTATGGGGTGCTGGGACTGAGCAGGGTGTGGACACGGGGTGGTTGGGGGTTTTAGGGTTGTGGGGGTGTGGGAGGTGGGGTTGGGGGTGTTGGAATGGAGGCTTCAGAGTGCTGGGGGATAGGACTTCAAAATGCTGAGGTTGTAGGGTGCTGGACAGGCAGGGTCGTGGGGGTGGATGGAGATGAGCTGTGGGCTCTGGGGTTGAAGTTTTAGGGTGCTGTGTGTGCACAATAGGGCAGGTAGGGTACTGGGTTGTAAGAGATAAGGGTTTTAGGGTGGCTGGGAAGGGTGCTTTTAGGGAGCTGGGTGTGCATGAAATAGGGCTGCACGGTGCTGGGAGTGCATTGGGAAGGATCTTTGGGTGCTGGGATGTGAAGTTTTAAGGTAATGCGAACAAGCTTACGAGAAGATGGGCTGAGTTTGCTTTCTCATGGCTGCTCCACTAAGCTGTTTTGCTAGAAACGAGCTGAGACCAGAAATGAGGTGACCTCACCCCCCATCAGCAGGGCCCTGGTCCTGTCCTGGAGAGGATGTGGTTGCGTGGCCCCGCTCCCTGCGGTGACCCTGCTGCTACCTGCACTGCTCCTTGCTGCGAGAGGCTTCACCCTTTTTTATTTTTTTCCCCCTATTGCTATAGTACTGGGAGCTGTTTGCCTCTACAGCGTCACTTCTTTAGGTGACAGCATAGCTCCTACGGGGCTGATCCCAAAAAGAGGAGTTTGCAAGTCAGCCTGTTGCTGCGACAGAGCTTTCCTCAGCAGCAGGAGGATAAAGGTGCCTTCCAGCAGGGCTCCATGCAGGCTGCAGATAGGCTAGTGAGTGCTTTCGTCATATTCAGTAAATGGGGTGTGGGCACCAGTCCAGTGCCTGCCCACATGGCTGGGGCGGAGCGATGGGGGACAGCTGTAGAATTGCTGCCATGGCTTTTCCCGTGTAAAAAAGGGAGGTTTGGTGTACAGAGGGGCACGTGGCAGCTGCTGGTGTTTGCAGGCAGCTTGTTGCCAACGCTGCACGTGATAAAGTAGAGCAGAGAGTGATTGCTTGCATCCAAATTGCTTTGTTTTTGTACTTGGAGACATCGCTGCAATCTGCTGGCTCTCCAGTCGGATGCCCTGAAAGTGAAATGCAGCTATTAGATTGTGTTAAGATATCTCCGTTGACCCACCTGCTGTTAGTGGAGGGCGAAGGGGGTGTGGGGATGGATAGATAGACAGACAGACAGCCTGACTGACAGCTCCCATTTCTGCCTAGGATGTGTGACCGCAACGGTGGGAGGCGGCTGCGGCAGTGGCTGATTGAGCAGATTGACAGTGAGCAGTACCCAGGGCTCATCTGGGAGAATGAGGAGAAAAGCATGTTCCGCATCCCATGGAAGCATGCAGGGAAGCAGGATTACAACCAGGAGGTGGACGCTTCGATTTTCAAGGTAGGGTGAGATGGTTTGTCCCCGTTACCAATGGCTTCTGGGCTATAAGGTGAGGTGGTTCATCCCTGTTGTCAGTGGTTTCTGGGTTGTCTGGATCTCAGCTGGTGGGAGATGTCCTTGCTGTCAGCAGGACCTGCAGCAGCTTGCTTCCTGTAGGATCCCCCTCAGGATCGTTTGGGGGTGGTTTTTCCTTTTTGCTGAGTGTTGGTGCCAGGTTTAGGTTTGTTCCTGGCATGTTCTAATCCTGGCCTGATGTGCTCTCTGACCTGCCCTAAGCTTCCTATTGGGCTCTTTCTGATAAGAGTGTATTTACCAAAAAAAGAAAGGGAAGGAAGGAAGTGTCAGCTTTTCTCAGAGAGGAGGGACTTTACATTTTAGCTATAATGGGAAAATTCTGTCCTGAACCAAAAAGTCAGGCTCTTCCCCAGGAATTCCCATCCCTCTGCCCTATTCCTATACTTTGCTCTATCCGTGGTGACTGACGGCTTTCGGGGCACTGACCAGAGCAATGGTTTGTAGAGGTGGCTTTATATATATATTCATATCTGTTATCTGTATTAAAATATACTCTCCCACCTCCCCATGAAAGCGCAAATGACATTCTGGTATTAAACAGTGTCCAGCTGTCACTTACTGGTCTAAACCTGGAAAGATGAGGGGTATTTTAGTATGGGTTTGGGTGTTTCTGGATCAGGACAAGTATCATTACTTGGATGTGCACCCTTGCATCAGTCTGTGCTAAAGTGAAGTTGCACACTGCTGTTTTGGCTCTGGTTTGAGCTGTGCTGTGAAGGGCATGAAACCAACTCCAGCTCCCTTAGCTTGGTGTGATGTGGCTGGTGCAGAGCTGGGCTTGTGGCAGTGCCCAAACTTTTGAGGACTTCTATGAGATGCCCCGTTTCTGAGCAACAGTGTGCCCAAGACGTGCTGCTCATTGCTCTTTGGTCCAAAGGGATTTGCAGAGCTTGCATGGATGATGATTTCATTTTTGTTTTGCTTTAGGCTTGGGCTGTTTTCAAAGGCAAATTCAAAGAAGGTGACAAAGCAGAGCCAGCCACCTGGAAGACACGGCTGCGCTGTGCCTTGAACAAGAGCCCCGACTTTGAGGAGGTGACAGACAGATCCCAGCTGGACATCTCTGAGCCCTACAAGGTGTACAGGATCGTGCCAGAGGAAGAGCAGAAATGTGAGTGCCCCATTGAAGGACATGGGCTCTGGGTGCTGCTGCCCTACACCCAGCAGTGTGGGGTTGGCCCCATGGCTTGGGGACACGTCCTGCATCACTGCAGTGCTGGGAGGTGGGGAAGGAGCTGCTGGAATGTTAGGACCAATAGTGTTTTTATTTTTCCTCCATGTTTAACTGCTGCTTGGGAAATAAAGATGCACAAACCTGAATCCTTCCCCTGCTTTGGGGTTGCTTGAGCCCTCCCAGCCATTTGTCCTCCTGACACCCACCCTGGCAGGGAGTTGCAGTAAATCCTTTCCCTCTTGCTATCACTTACTGGAGGAACAGCAGCTCAGCAGGGAGCAGTCACTGCTGTATTGGGTACAGCACAGGTTGCAATATGCATCTCTCTGCTGTTCTGGTGTGTGTGCTTTTCCCTTTTTTAATTCCTTGCTAGTTTTGTCTTAGAGAAAAGGAGGAGAGGGGGGAGAAAACAAGAAAAATCATGCAGATCTGTCTGTAGCATCTTGTCTCCTTTTGTGTGTTCACATGGGGCCCTGTATGCAAATGGCACTGCAGGTTCCCACCGGCAGCACGGCTCATGGAAAAAAGAGAAGCAGCACCAGTCTCTGGGGTGCACAGAAAAACCCCTCTCCTCTGCTCTAGCCCCAAGCTGAATTTAGTTTGCCCCACTGCTCATCACCGTGTACCAGTGCCATTTATTGCAGGCTGGTTTCTGGGCCCAAAATGCAGCTGCTGGGGAGAAGAGGAACGTGGGATTGCTGCGGTTCTCAGTTTCATAACTTTCGTGGGGTTTCTGAAATCTGGTGGCGAGGCCATGGCTGCCCTGCTGCATCATCCTTGCTGCTCTCTGCAGGCAAAATCGGCGTTGGGAACGGGAGCAGCCTGGCTGAAGTTGGAGACATGGACTGCAGCCCCTCTGCCATCGATGACCTGATGAAAGAGGTGAGCCCCTCTTCCATGGACACAGACCTAACTAGGCAAAGATTGGTTGCCCAGTCATGTTTAAAGCTGCCTCGTGAAGAGCACTGTGCTTTTGCAGCTGCACTGGCTGTGGTCATTCATCTGAGCAAGCTTGAGGTCTCTGTGTGGTTACTCATGGCTGGAGCATGCTTTGTTTGCATTTGTTTGGTGGAGGCTGCAGGCTTCTTGTGCTTCTGTTCCCCTTCTTGGTTGCACTGTGTGGGGCCTGTTCTGCTCCATGCCTCTTGAGAGGTTATTTGGGTACACGGCCTGGGGAATCCCAAACTTGCTCTTTCTAACCAAAAAGCATTCACCAGCCTTTTGGCATCCTTTTTGCCTTCTTGCTTGGCCTCTCCAGCCCCTCTTCAGGCCCTAGCCAGCTTTCTGCCCCTGCCTGATCTAATGGGTATCTCTTCCTCCTCCAGCCTTCTTGTGTGGATGAATACCTGGGGATCATTAAGAGAAGCCCTTCACCCCCACAGGAGACCTGCAGAAACCCCCCAATACCAGACTGGTGGATGCAGCAGCCCAGCCCCTGTAAGCAGTGTGTGGGGTGTTCTACGGGACCCAGCTGTTTGTCCAAGAGCAGTGCCTGTGATGATGGATGGTGTAGGCTCCCTCTGGGCAGTGCTTGGATTCTACCTTCCTTAGTGCTTTAAGTCAGCATTCTGGTGGATTTAGGGCACCCCACAGTGCAATGTTCATTGCACAATTCTTGTAATTACCCTGGGAGTGTTTGCTGGTGTCTCCCATTCAGGAGATGAGATGCCTGATGTGTTTGCTGAGTGGGAAAAGCTTGGGGATAGTGGGAGGGTGGGATCAGGGCTTGGGAAAGGCAAAGTGTGCTGGAGCTGGATACATCTCTACTCTCTCTGCCCACAGCTTTGCCCCTGGTGAATGGGTACACTGGCTACGAGCAGCATCATTCGGGTAAGGCAGCTCCCATTCCCCTGTGTGAGACTGGGCTGTGGCCATCACACTCCTCTCTGGAGCTTGTGTACGTGTGCTATATGGCAGACAGTGACTCTATCTCACCTGTCCTTCTCTTCCAGGGTACTCCCAGATGGTGATCACCTTCTTCTACAGTGGCAGGCTGGTGGGGCACATCACCACCTCATATCCTGAGGGCTGCAGGCTGTCGCTCAGCCAACCCTCTAACCACGGTGAGAAGCTCTACGCCCCTGATAGCCTGGAGCACGTGAGGTTCCCCTCAGCTGAAGCCATCCAGAATGACCGCCAGAAGCAGATCACCAAGAAGCTCTTTGGGCACCTGGAGAGGGGTGTCCTGCTGCACAGCAACAAGCAGGGCATCTTCATCAAGAGGCTGTGCCAGGGAAGGGTCTTCTGGAGTGGGAACACAGTGGTGTACAAGGACAGGCCAAGCAAACTGGACCGTGATGAAGTGGTGAAGATATTTGACACCAACTTATTCTTTAGAGGTTGGTATGAGCACTGTAGGAGGGGTTGATGTTGTTCTTGGCTTTGCTCCGCTTCCTCTTGGAGCGCCTTGAGGTTATAACTGTGCATCACTGCTGTTTACCTAAGTGATGTGGATGAGTAACTCCAGATATCAGATCTGGGAAGGAGTGATGCAGTGCACTGTCACGTAGCAGAGGCTTCATGGCTGGAGGCTTTGTGCAGCAGGTTTTCTCCTGGCAGAGCCACACCAGCCTGCTTTGTGTCAGTGGTGCTTGATCCACACACTGTGCTTGATCCACACACGGTGCATCACAACTTGCAGACAGCCTCCAGCTGTGCTCCTCTCTTTGCAGAGCTGCAGCAGTACTACAACAACCAGGGTCGCTTCCCAGACAGCAGGGTCATGTTGTGCTTTGGAGAGGAGTTCCCAGACACGGTGCCGCTGCGGTGTAAGCTCATCCTCGTCCAGGTATGGCAGCTGCTATGATCTGCCCTGCTTCTGGTCCCTGACACTGGGTTATGTCTCTTCTCTGTACTGTATTGCTCATTTATTCCTAAAAGTGGGACTCTGGCTCCAGTCTCTGCTTGGTGTGAGCCTCTTGAGATGCTGTTGCTTGTCTCAGACCCCTTGGTTAGATCACATCTACAAGCAAAGTTTTCACGTGCTGTGCAGCTCGTAGATTCCCTACTGGTTTTCTGCATGATTCCTGTGTCTCTGCTTTGCTCTGCTGCTTGCTCAGTGCTTCCTTTTGTTCCTGCCCCTTGGCACTGGGAGCTGTGCCCTCTGCTGTGGAAAATGAGGGGATAAATCCCTGGAATGACTGCATTAAGTGGTGGCCTCTGGCTGGCTTTTCAACCCTACAGCCTTTCCTTGGGGCAAGGCATGGGGCATTTCAGGAGTCCACTGCAGGCACAGCACGCTATGGGTGGCAGAGAAGACATGAGACCATGGTGTGGGGTGGGCATTACAGCAAGCAAGATCCACTAGACCTCTGAGTTTCTGGAAGGTGGGGGTTTCCAAGCTCAGAACCCAGTCCTGCTCATCCTTGCCCAACTTTTTGACTGGGTCACGGAGTCATAGAATCCTAGAATGACCTCTCCTCCCTGTGACAGCCCCTGTGGCCATGCCTTATGGTGCATCGTGGCGTTGGGCCTGCAGGCTTTGGTAGGCCTGGCTATGGCTGCTCTTGTCCCAGTGCCCTCACAACTCCTTTCTTTTCTTTTTTTTTTTGTCTAGGTGGAGCAGCTGTGTGTCAGGCAGGTGATGGAGGAGGCTGGCAAGACCTGCAGCAGCCCCATGCTGCCTGATGAGGTGCAGCAGGAGCAGGTTTACAGGATCTTCCAGGACATCTGTGGGCCACACCAACGGCCGCTGTTCAGAGAGAATCAACAGATTGCTGTGTGAGCCTCCATGGGCACGACGTGGGGTCTGGGTGACTCCAGACCAGTTGGGATTCATTAGTGCCTAAAAATGTCCCTTTGTTTGGCAAGTTGGTTCTTGATCTTTGCTGTTTTCAGTCCAAAAATCTGTGTAAACACAGCGGGCCAAAGTAACAGCCCCACTTGGTTTGAGAACCACCACTGGAAGGAGGTGGTGACTCCTGGAAAGGCCTTACAGTGCTCAAGTAAATCCTTAACAGAAGTAATTTTTTTTCCCCCAAAGAATTTGCAGACCTGCTGAAGTCTGTGGTATGCTTTCCATGGAAAAACCTCCTCAAATCCCTCTTTATTTTAGCAATGAAGTTTATATTTTTGTCTGTCATATTGGGAGTATTTTGAAATTCGGAGAGCGATGCAGAAATTATATATGTAAATGTTGGCTACGAGAACATAGGAATCTTAATTTTTCTGACCCCAAACCAGAGTTAATACAAACAGATACCTTCTATTTTAAAGATAGCAGTGTAGTGTTAATAGGTTGGCTTCACTGTCCCAAAATGCATGTGTTGGTCTCTCCCAAGCGTGAGCAGGCAGCAGCTTCCATGTGTCAATCCTCATTCTGTTTGCCCAGTGCTGGGGAGTTCCTTGGGCATGGCCTCGTGCCTTGCAGCAGCCACAAAGCACCGTGGACCAAAGGACTTTGCAGATGTGTATGCAGTGAGGCTGCCTATTTATTTTATGCCTAAGTTTTTTTTTGTTAAATGGTTTTGTAATTTCTTTTTTTTTTTTTTTTTTTTTTTTTTTTTTTTGTATCTTCCTGCAATTAAAGTGCTATATTTTGTATTTGTCTTGTAAAGTGTTTTTTGTTGGTGCTGTCAGTGGGGTTCCTAATCTTGGTGGAGGGGTCTTTAGTTTGTTCCTGCCCAAGTCTTCCCTTGTGTGGGGTCTGTGGAGGTCCTGCTCTGTAACTGGCTTCATCTCAGGGGACAATATGCAATAAAATGCAATGGAGAAGGGGGAAAAATGCAATATCTGTAGGGCCTTTTTAGAAAAGAGCATGAAGATAGGTCCCTGCCTGTCTTTCATGGTACTGTACTGGATGCCCTTACCTTGCTGACCTGGGCCATAATGCTCCAAGGTGGGAAGGGTTGATTTGATGGTTCTTGTTGCCCCCTGTCTTCTCATCCACATCCATCTCAGAGGGTTTGATCTGCTGGGGGGTTGTGGGAGGGGTTTGGGAAGAAGTGAGAGCCAAAAGGGGGCATCTGCTTCTATTAGTTGATGAAGTCAACACTGCAGGAATGGTGGCTGAGCATTCATACCCTCATCTGCCTTCCTTTCTAGCCTGCTTTTGGGGTAATGCAGGAGGCTCTGGAAGGCTGTGAAGACCTTGTTGGATCTGTGTCCTTGCCTGTGTGAAGGACAAACATCAACAAACTGCTCTGTGCTTTGGACCAGCCCTGCCAAAGGCTTTATCTGGGGAAAGTCTTTGTGGTGTGACCCCAATACCCGAGGTAGTGGGTGGGGTTCACATTGAGATTCAGGCAACTGAAGGGAAATGCTGAGGAGATGGATGCAAAGCTGTCCTCCTCCTTGCTTGGGTGTCAAAGCAGATCATGAGACTTAGAGGAGAGAAATTAAAAACAGCAAAGAACTCACCAGGGGTTTGAAGCTGACCCTGCTGCATTCCTCCAGGCTAAGCATGCGGCCTCTCTGTTCCCCTGTCCTAAAGAGCTGCTTATCTCACATTCTGCTGACTTCAGAGTGTCAAGACAGTGCTCTGAGATGGCAAACCTAGCTGAAAAGTGGTTACATGCTAGGATTAAAGGATGGCCGTACATTCTTGGTTGTTCTGGGATGAGAGCCCTTTGGTAATCTGTCCTGTTGGGCTACATGGGATGGGTATTTATGCTATGAGCATCCTACTAAATCGTTGGGATCCAGCTGTATCAGTGGGATACCTGTGGTCCTGTCTGCTCTTCTGTGCATCCCTTGCAGGCATTACAGCCTGAGGCTTTGGAACTTACGAGAAGAAATGACTGCAGACCATGAGTCCTGTACGTATGTCAGTAGCCTAAGTGCAATGATTTCCACAGCTCCTGCTATGAATACAGCTCTGGCTTATGAGGTACTCAATCACGGAGGTGGGTGGTGAGGTGCTGTACCACCAGCATGCACCCCTCAAGCCTTTCTCCTGTCCTTAGGGTCACTGTGGTGATTAATCCCATTTCATCCCTTGCAGAACTGAAGCGATCAACACACTTGTGTGTGTCCTGCTGCAACCCATATCAAACTAACAAAACCATGAGCAAGAGGGCCAACCTTTCCCCTTTTCTTCTAAGCCTTTCAGATCAACCATTCCACCCCACGTCGTCCATCCCTCCCCCGGGGGCAATTTTCCCTTTGGGCCTCCTGGCTCACGAAGAAGCATCTTTTCTGCAGGCAAGGTGCTGAAGGAGGAGGGAGCGAGGTGACCCTGCGGTCTGTGCGGCTGCGATGGAACAACATGTGCCCGCTTGTGAAACATATGACAGGCTGCAGGCTTGAACACCAAAACACCACTTGCGGTTTCCCCAGATGTCCCAGAGCCAGTCCTTCCTCAGAAACCACCATATTGGGCTTGCCTGGAGCCACCTGCTATGTATTCAGGGCTCTTTCATTTTCCACCCCAAGACCGCGGAAGAGCAAGGGGAACAGAGGTACCTTTGTTTGGAGCACTCTGTGCTTTATTTTTAGTGTTGCCATGCTGCCTCAGAGCCAAGAGTGCGGTTTAGGACCGCTGCTGCACCTTGCTCCATAAAGCCAGCAGCACAGCTCCCAGTCCAAACAGCATCCAGACCAAGAGGAGACAGCTGGTGGGTGGCCAAGGTGTGGGAAGGAGACCATGGGATGGGGTTGGGTGGCAGAAGGGAGTTGTAAGAACAACGATGTAGGGTGCATGGTTGGATGCAGGGTTTGTCCTCTTTCAGATGAAGGCTTTGGCAGGACTTGGAGTTGGGGTCAAGTTTAATGCCTTGCATAAGGTGAACATCCCTGGCTCTACTCATCTCTAAAATGTAACACAAGAGAGGCATCCGAGGCTGATGCTCACTCATAGGCAGAGGACCAGAAGCCCCAGCAGACGGAGGAAGGTTTCGAGGTACCCGTGCCACACTGCACATTGTTTTGGCCCAGACTTTCTGTGGCCTCTGTACGAGCTCTGAGTAGTTTCTGCAGATCTCATGCTGACCCAAAGGTGCACCCTGGATACCCATCCCTACACCTCACCTGACCTCATGGGTTGCTCACTGCAGCTGCATTGAATCTCAGTGGTTTGCAGCTCAAAGACTTTCATTGGTTTCTGTTCACTTGGGTTCTTCTCTATGGCCTTACTGAAGTGAAACCTCAGTGCCTTGTGTTGGCTCTTCATCAACAGCTCGTCCATCAGCAAGCCCCACAGCAGCTCATGTCTCCCCAGCTGATGGTTCCTGGAACGTTATTTGGGTTCAAAGCCAACCTGTCTCTTGAGATAAGTCAGGCTGGAAGTCTCTTGCACCACTAGGAATCATTTTTCTTGGGAGAAAATATATCCTGCAGTGTTATCAGCCTTGACCCTTAATGTTGCATAATGTTCCCATAGGTTCCCATGACATAGCCTTCAACAAATGCAGACAGACCCACCGCCCGTGGCTTCAGAAGCAGAATTCTGTGTCTGTAAGTACAACCAGTGCCTATTCATCTCTATGACATGCTTGAAATACCGTGTAAGAAGTCAGAATTATTGGAATACCATGGTGACAAGTCTCCTATGTGATAAACAGGCTTCTAACTGGCTGGTTAGAAGGATGTTGAGGTCTGGATCCAGCTAACTTCTGAGATTTTGTCTGTCTCATTCTGTAGAAACAGGAAGAGCTCTACAGCCATCCTTATCCCTCTTCAGGCCAAGTACAGACAACCACAGCTCAATGGAAGGTCCAAACTCACAGTCAAACTGCTCAGGAATACAACACAAACCAGCTACAGCTGCTTCCTCCAACTCATTGCTGCTTAGCCTGGGCCCCACCGGCCCCTATAGGCGTTAGAAAAACAGTCACTTTTTATTTCTAGACACCAGGATTTCCAACTGGTTTGATTGCTCAATGTCCCATTTCAGCACAGCAGCCTGTCCACGATGAGCATCTCCAGGCTCTTCCTGTGAGCATGTTGTAATATGGGAAGCACCTTGCTTTGCATGGTCACCAGCTGAAGGACATCTCCCTGCCCCAAAGAGCTGGCCAGTCCTAACACCAAGGAAACCTCTGTGATGCCTCATGAAGGAAGCTTGGTGAGATAATTCACCTGCAGTCATCTTTGGCAGAGCTCAAAGATTTGGATTTCTACTCTACCCTGCTGGTGGAACTTGGTTCATGCATCGAATCACAGCCCTCATAAAATCAACCCTGTGCAGGTAACGGGATGGGAGGGATGCTCTGAAAGCATTTCGCCAGCCTTGGGTTGGCTGAGAATTGGGCAGAAGAGGCAGTGGGGAGAGCTGAGAGTGAGGACTGCATTCACAAGGGCTGAGACCTTTGGGCAGGCAGTGTGCTGGGTTCCCCAAGCAAAATGTGGCTGCAAACATTAGGGCTCACATGGAGGAAGGGAGATTCCAGACTCCAGCAAGAACGACAGCCACTTGTTTCTCCAAATCCATTTCTCTGATCGTTTTTGCCATAACACCAGATATAAGACCATAAAAACAAGCTCCACCTAAGCCACAGCTGTGAAAATACAGAGAAATACCATGATACATATTTTGTTTTGTCAGACCCTTGGGTTTATTATGACACCAAGGCTGTGAAACCAAGGCCCAGGTTGAAATACCCTCCCTCCCCACTGAGTTTGCATGTCTCTAGATGTTGTGTCCTACTCTATTTTTGCTGGGTGCAATTTGCTTCCAACAGTGCAAACACCCTGATGCAACAGCAACCCACTCAGATAGCAGAGAATCTGGGCTTGTATGAAAGAAGAACACAAAAGAACTTTGACTCAGCTCTAAAACTGAGCCAGCTCAAGAAAAAGAAAAAAAAGATAGAGGATATCCCAGGTCGCTGCACAAAAAAAAAATAAATAATCTTTGTAATGTGGTAATTAAAAGAACAATAAATCTTAAGTTGGAGAAAATTTCATTTTCCCTATTTCTCCTACAGTGCGTGACAGTAGGTGGATGTTAAAGTGTTTTTCCTACTTCTTGCTAGAGTGGCAGTGGTAAACTTCCTTACTTGATCTTTTACAGGCCAGGAACCACAAACTACAGAGTGATTTTGAATTTTGAAACAAGTTGTGAATCTCAGTCGTATTAATTACCAGTAAGTTATGGTTCTTCATTCAACTGCCTTGACATATAGATGTCTCCTGGATCTTAATCTTTTTTTCCATTGCTATGAACTGAGGGAGAAGTACATGGTGTGGGTGCAGAGCCATCTCCATCACCCAGCTGGAGGATGATGTCAGCATTGTTCTGCAAACAGCAGTCTCCCATCAAGCCTCAGCTATAATTAGGAATTGCATCTAGATCTCAGCTTAATGCCATCTCCAGCTCAGGAATTGGAGATGTAATTTGGTAACGATCTGTTTGCTCACCATGGCCATAATAAAACCTCACATTTCCTGCACACCAGTGCTCCATGCACATAAGCAAGGTCCCCATGGCCATGCCAATGGTGCCCTTCTCTTCTCATCCCCAGCAGTTCAATTCCCTGCCCAATCTCATGTCCTGGGACCAAAACCATGGGCTTGGCTCTAAATCCACTCTGCGACTCGAAACTGCCCAAGGTCCCC